GGAAGGAGAGAGAGAGGATGGATCGAGGGAGGGGGGGGGCCGATGTGTGGCACCCATCACGCACGCGGCCCACCGGCGCCGTGGCACCAGCGAACAGGCGCACACGCGCGCAAATGTGCCTCCCCACACGCGTCCCATTACGGCGCCCGGGCGTGAGGTCGACATATCAACATGCCAACCGTGAAGGAGTCTCATCGTTGCCCCCTCATTGTCGGTCGTGTGTGTGTGTGTGTGTGTGTGTGTGTGTGTGTGTGTGCGCGCGCGCGCGCGCGGTGCATAGCCCCCGGGGCTCCCCGCCTGTCAACCGAGAAGGTCCTGCCCCGGTGCCGGTAGTCCCCCCCCGCTCCGCACTAGCACCGAAAAACGAGCGGACCCGGCAGGGGCTACGATGCGCCGGAATTCCTCGCCGGACTACGGACCTACCCTTTGCCAGTGACCTTCCGACGAGCCCTGCCCGCGTCTCCGGGAGTGCACCCCCCCCCCCCCCCCGCGGCCGTTCAACCATCAGCTCCTTCAGGCTCAGAGGGGGCGAGGGCGACCTCGCCGAAAAGGGGTAAATTAATATGTCCCTCCTTTTGGCGGTGAATGCTCCTCGCCTTTCGTCCTGGGGCGAACACCGAACGATGGGGCCTTGTCCAGTTGAGCGATCCGGCCGCGGGCGGGGGATCTCCAGGCCGCGGGACCGTCGGCGGGCGCTCAGGGCACCCCCCTACGCGCGGGATGCGCTCCGGACCCGAGGCCCGGGCAGATGTAACCTTCGCCGCGCCTGCCCGGTCTCCTGTCTCTCGCATTGCCCTCCCCCCCCCCCCCCCCCCCCCCCCCCCCCCTCTCCTTCTTTTTCTCCCCCCCCACCGAGCTGCCCCTTCGATCCTGGCAGGTAGGTGCCCCCCTCCGGCGTCCCCATGCGCGGGCCTGGGCCAAGCGGTGTTTCAAAAGTGTCTCCCCGGGGGGGGGGGGGCGGGGGCTCTCCCCTGGGATCGAGCCCGCAGACTCACATACAGGCAACCCCCGCCCCCTCTGCTGCACCCAGCTGCCAGGGCGGGGGACTCTTGCTACCCCGTTGCCCCCTGGAGGGGGGAGGGACTATTCGGCGCCTGGCTCCTCTGCGGGGACACCCCCGGTCGCTCGGCAGGACCTCGCCCTCAGGGCGTGGAGGAAGCAGGGAGGAGGAGCACACGCAGATGAGCCGTCCGTGTGTTGGCCAGGGGGGCCCCGGGCATGGGGGGCCCGTGCCGCGCTCTCGGCCTTTGGTCTCGCACTTGCACGCCCCCCACCCCCCGACTCGGTCTGACCCTTGGCGGGAGGTCGCGACCCGGGGCACCAGACGCCCCGGCGACACGGCCCCCCCCTCCCTGCTCACCCCCGCCGGTGCGCGCCAATTCGCCGCATACGGCGACGAGCCAGAGCCCGCGAGAGACCCGGCGGCCGGGCCCGGGCCGGGCCGGGGAGGAGAGCGGCAAGGGCGCCACGCAATGAATTGTTTACCAGCGCCCTAGCGCCCCAGCCCGAGGGCCTCCCCGATGGTCGGTTGACAGAGAGACGTTCCCCTCTTGGCGGCTGAACCGGCTCCCGGCGCCTTGGCGCGCACATAAACAATGACCCATCAGCCGCGCGCGCGCGCGCGCGCGTGCACCCGCCGCCCGCCCCCCCGCCCCCCCCCCTGAACGCCCCCTCATCACGCGCTTGACTTTCTAGCTCCGCCGCTGGCCCCACCCGGGCCTCGCGCCCGCCCAAAAGGATCGCCTAGTTAAAAAACGGCCTCCCCTTCGTCTGCCCCCTCGCCTCTTGCCGCGAGCGGCGTTCGTGAATATGGTCCCTGGGCTGGGCTGGGCGCGCGCGCGTGCTCGCGCCCCCCCCCCCCCCCCCCCCCCCCCCCCCCGCGCCCCGAGGCCCATCGTAGTTGTTGTTGTTTTTTGTTGTTGTTTTTTCCCGGGACCCCGCACTCCCCGTGATGCTCTCCCCTCGCCCCCGGCGCACCGAGCATGCCGCGGGCTGCTTCTCGCCCGGTCCACCGTGCGGGGAGGAAGGCCACAGCGGCGGGACGCGGGGCTCGAGGCACAGACCCGGCACTCCTTGTCTCACTTCGGGCCTTCGCGGCTGCGCCGGTCCGCGCAGGGCGGGCCGGGGCGCTGGCCACCGGCGCAGGCGGGGCAGGGGGGACAGGCGCAGGCTGGGACCGTCGGCGCATCGGCCCCCCACCCCGCTTCTGCCGGCCTCTCGCCCCAACACCAAGGGTGGCGCGCCGAAATACTGGCCCCACCCCTCGCGGCCCACAGGCAGCCGCCCCCGGGGCCGTGCAGACAGAACACCATCTCCACGCGTTGGGGGGACCTCGCTGCCTTGGCCGCTGGTGAGGTGACGATCGCCCGAGATCGCGCTCGCACGCACGCACACGCACACGCACACGCACACGCACATTGGAAGGAGCAAGCGGCGGCCGAAGGTGGGCAGGTTTTTCCGACGGGCCCCTGGCCGGGCGCTGCCGGTCGCCCTTCTGACCAGAGCATTCCCCTCGCTGCCCTGCCCCCCCCCCTTGACTTCTTTTCAACTCGCCCGATCCGCCGCCCCCCCCCTCCCCCCGCCCATTCCCTCCCTCCTCCCCTGTTTGGCGGGCCTGACAACGCCTGCGACCTGGTGCAGCCGTCGCCGGCAGGTGGCCCCCAGCCCCGCTCCCCCCTCTCGCCGCAATATGACGCAGGTTGTCGGAACCCGGTGGTCCAAGCGGTCCACCATTCTCGGCCACCTGGACAGTGTGCGTGTGCTCAGGCCATCCAGTCCGGGAGCTCCCCCCCCCCCCCCCCCCCCCC